TCTTTTTACATAAAAATGTATATAACTCACAACCAAGGTAAATAGAGATTATTCCTATATTGATATAAAGTATATTTTATATTTAGAGAACAACCAATAACATTGATTTATTTAAAAATCGAATCGTAGACCAATTAAAGGTTAACTTAACTTCACAGTTTTTGAACTTAGCACAAAATGTATCCAAAATTGTAACGATTGTTCCTTGATTATTTAAACGTGAATTCTTCCAAGGAAATTATGTAGTTTATAAGAAAAGGGCTCGTAGTTAAACAATCCTTGCTCTCGTTTAATCCGCCGTTTATAGTAATGTGAAACAGTAAACTTAGAGAAAATCATAATAAAACTTTATGTTGCATTCTTTTTTATTCGCGATACACTTAAAACCCGAAGGTCTACGTTTATGGCGATGTTTCTCTTAATATTACGGTCAGTTTCGTTATATGAGATTATTTAAAGGCACTTAAACAAACAATACGCAAGACGTAATAAACGTAAGCATAAAGAAACGATTTCCTCCAATATTTTATACGGGTACATATTTTTTATAAGATTAGGGAGCAAACGAGCAGCGGGAACACCGAGCTGTTCATCGACGCCCAACGACATCTGCAAGCTCAGAGGACCGCAGATGCGTTGCCGGCCTTTGAGGTGGCATTATGCTCTCTCCTTGAAGGACCCTAAGTCGTAGCGGTTTGGAAATACCGCCGAGGGCAGTCCCATTCATCATATTTCTTAAGGGAACAATTTTAATAGTAATTTAATCGGATAATATTATGCAGCAAGGGGATTCCCCGCATACATGCTAACATCAAATAAAAATGGTCAGTCAATGTAAAATAAATGTCGTGTTGACAAGTACAATACGCGGTAAAACGGATCTCGCCTCACTCTCGCCTCTCGCTTCACACCTGATGGCTTAATGCACCTACTATACAAAAATAAATGAAGGGTTCCTTTTGAGATATACAGCGCGGTATTAAATTATCCTTAGGTGCGGCGGTGTACTCTCGTAGGATAGCACGGCTTAACAATCTATCCTTTTCTCGAAGTATCCTTTTAAAAGAATGATGTGATGCTCGTAGTTTGAAACAAGTAAGAGTTGACCTTAATGAGATACAGGTGAAGGACTCTTGGATCTCGACCACGTCTCGATATTGTCTGTGTGTAGATATTTCTTGTCAGGTTTACACTGGAAACAACTTGTTTTGAAATTTTATACATTTTTCATTTTAAATATTAAAATCCAACGTCTTAAAGTCGGAACTACATAAGACATTGTGATCGTGACATTTACATTTTTTGTGTCTCTGTTATTCAAATAGTTGACAATTCTTTATACCTTACTAATATTGTAAATGCGAATGTTTGAATGGATGGATGTATAGATGGATGGATGGATGTTTGTTTGAAGGTATCTCCAGAACGGTTGTACTGATCGCGATGAAATTTGGCATAGATGTAGAACATAGTCTGGAAGAACACATAGGCTACTAATTAAGTTTTTTTTTGTTCCGCGCGGACGGAGTATCGGGCGACAGCTAGTCCTTATATATGTTTTTGACTACTACGTATATTTTATATTTTTTATGTATTTTTAATATATCAAATAAACGTCAGTAACATAGTCCGCTCCCTCTGCATAACACTCGTTAGGGGACTGCCACTCGTAAAGCATTGGTAATGGGTTTTATCTTGGACTATAAAATTTATTTACACTCCTACTATTGCATTATCGGAACCTCATTTCCTAATGTGACTGTGCAACTTAGTATAGAATCATCAACGCATTTTTACGCAATTTTCACACATCTATGTATACTTTAATTCGCCTGGCGAGTCCTTTTGATACGAATATATTATAGCGTTCCATACGATACCATTTCTGAAGTGAAAATTTGTTGCTATAGAAACAAGACGTATTACTTTTTATTATATAATAAAGTACTAATTACAAGCGGCCTATTAAATTATCAGTCTTCTTCATTATTATTTCTATAAGATTTTATGTTCAAGGTTTTGACATTTTGGGAGCAAAACAAAGAAACTAATTAATGAAGACGCTAACATTATAATGCTATTAATTTCTAAGTATCGGGTGATTATGTTTTCTTAAATAAATGAAAAACAATACAAACAAAAGAACAAATTGTAAACGACTTTATATTATTTTGTTACAATCTTTAATATCATTTTACTAATTTGTTTCGAGTATAATTTACTAATAAATATTTTATATCATAATAACATTATAAATGTGAATGTTTGGATGGATGGATGTTTATTTGAAAGTATCTCCAGAACGGCTGAACGGATTCCGATGAAATTTGGCATACATGTAGAACAAAGTCTGGAAGAACAAATAGGCTACTAATTTTGTTTTTTTTTCAATGCCTCGCGTACCGAGACACGGGCGACAGCTATATGCAAAATAAGTATAAACAATGAGATTCAACATAAAAATTAAAAAAATGTAATTCCATAATAATCACAGTTTTTAACAAGTCTTCTTCGTGTTGACAATATTTTTCATCAGCGCTACTAATCCCAATTCCCTCGCACAATCACAAAGAAAATGAGTCGGTCGACTGATCTGCGGTTACACAACGGGAAATAACTTCTCTCCCCCTCGGCCCTGCTCGCTGCAGGCTGCATTCCTGTCCCTTCGGTACTATAACGAGTCCTGTCGTGAAATAAATCTTGCCACCCCAGCTGAAACGCCGTCGCAGCCTCTTTCAGGGCACGGGATAAAAGGTCTTTATTTTTTCACGTTAAAGCCTTTTTATGTGATGTACTTTCATTGCGAAGTTTTATAGGCAGTTGATTGCTACTGAAGGCTCACTTCTGATATCTTACTTTTAGCTTGGATAGAGTTAGATACGGACTCGTAGATTAAAGTCATTTTTAGAAAATATATGAACTCTTATGATATAAACCTAAAAGGTCGTTCTAGTAATAAAGTTTTATAGTGTTTGTAATTATTTTCTTAGTGTTATAAAGGTAAAAAAGTTGTTTAAATTAACCAATGTTTTTGTGCAAATAAATTAAAGTCTGTGTCAGATAAAAGCGTGTTTCCAAAAATTGGAAAGGCCTCTAAAATGTATGCATCAGGTCTGTTCCTTTACAGTGACCATTAAAACTGTCCGTCCATCCGTTTGCAGATTTAAACCGAACGATAGGCCGTCACGGCTGTAAAAAACATTTATCACTCTCGATTTTCCGCCCATAGCCGTAGGCTGGGGTAGTATATTATTCTTCGATATACCATTAAAGAGGGTTACTATTGGCATCTTTATGTCCCGAACGAGATTTGTAAGTTAGGCTTTTGATATTTTATGATTGGAGAATAATAAGAGTAAGAAAAAATAGGACTAGTAAGGATTTAAAATTGATTAAACTTTCGTATACATTATAATAAACTAGCTGTAGCCTCGGAATTAAAAAAAATAATAATTAGTGGCCGGTTTTTCCAGACTATGTTCTACATGTGTGCCAAATTTCAGCGAGTTCCATGCAGTCGTTTTCAAGATACCTTCAAACAAACATCCATCCATGCAAACATTCGCATTTATAATATTAGTAAGGTTAGGAACGACTGAACTGACGTGTGAACATTCGCCCTTAAGATGGACCCCCGACCCGGGTCCGAAAATAGTTGGTAACGTCACCGGAGGATCATATGTGAGTTCAGCTTAATTAAGTTATTATTAATTCTTATAAAACAATGGAAAATTAACAAAACTTTAAAATCACCGAATTGTTTTAACAGTTAATTTGAACAAATGAAAGTATCCCTTTAAACAAGAACTAATTGTTAAATAAATGCCTTACACGTTTACTCCATTATGCGGGAATTACTCGTAAAATTTTACTTTTGGTCCGCGCCGGCAGCACGGCGAGTGTGGTACTGACAATCATTTATCTCAATTTTAGTTCTACATAGATAAAGCTGTCCCTATAGACAACCCTACATCATATAGAGTAAGCTGATGAGATTATGTTTTATACTTAAGCATAAACATTGAACCCCTTGGTATGAATATTTGAGGCTATTTATTTTTCTCTGCGTTAGTTTCGTATAGAAAAAGTTTTTAAAAGGAAAGTTTTTGTTTATAATTAAAGCTGTACTAGAATAATAAATTTGTACATGAATAGTATAAAACAGTGACATTTTGTGTTGTAATTATTTAACATCATATATTATTGGTTCAAATTAAATTGAACTTTATCAAACAGCTTATCAATGAGCTTTTTAGGAACTATTTTTGTATCGGATTATTTTAGCTCAAAGTCGTATCTAGGTTTGTAATTACTTTAAAAATATTATAAAACTAACTGTCGCCCGACACGCCGTCCTCGTGAAATGGAAAAAAAACTTAATTAGTAGCTTATGTGTTCAACCAAACTATGCTCTACATCTATAATAAATTATAGCGAGATCCGTTGAGGCGTTCTGAATATATCTTCAAACAAACATCCATCCATCCAAACATTCACATTTATTATATTAGTAAGATATATATTTTAATCACTTATTAGATTCAAAGTATTGAATTTTCACTTATCGGGCATAGTTGAAAGAGGCTTTAAATTTTTCATTCACGCTTCCATTGCGCGTCCAATGCCTATCGTCGCCCGATGGCGGCTGGACAAATCAATTTAACGTAATCAACTTGTTGCAGCGCCGAATTGGAAATAATTAGCATGTATTCATTTACATACAGGGTGTGAAAAAGATTGTATCTGTATTATGTATGCTTGATTACATTGCTTGTTTAAAGATAAAAGATAAAGTCCTGCCTATTAATGCCATCTTTTCTTGTGTTTATGCCAATCTCTATTAATCTTATAAAGTTTAGCATGCGTTAAACTCAAAAAACATCGTCCTGTATACATTTTAGTTTCCGTTTTCTCAAGTGTATTAGGTTGAGATGCGATTATTTAATTAATGTAATAAATAAAATTACAATAAATGTTTAAATTGTTTATTTGTTGTTCGTTTTAATGTATTATATATTTAAATAAGTTTCATAACAAAAGTTTTAAAGTAGTATGTATAAATATTCTTACATTACATTATGCCTGTAGGTATTATCGACTTAATATGTTTAAATGCGGTTGGCTATGTAATACATAAGTATATATGTTTAAGAAATCTATGTAATACAATATAAAATTAGCATATTGCAAGGTTAAATTCATTCAGCTAGATTAATTGTTTGAAAGTAACTGGGCAAAGTTTATATAGTAAACATAAATTTAATGATTGTTTTATTCTTTTAATAAGTACAAAGGTTACTATTTAACTAAACTGTTTAGTTTACGTTCGTATTCTTAATGACACTCAACCCAGTAACTTTATAATCACAAAATTGTCATATTGTACATATTCACTAAGTATAAAAATATTAATTTCAGAATATCATCTCAACGTAACACCACAAAACGATCGCAATGAAATCAATTTATAAAAATAGCTGATAAATAATATATCATCTCATTTGTACCCCTTCTCATCAGAGCAGCTGGATAACATATAAACCTTTTATGTATACATATACAGTGCTATGTACTGTCTACCGTTCTAATCGAATAGCACGTATTGTACGTACGCATGTTTTAGCCCCATCGTACATAAGACAACGTAAATCTTTGAAACTAACATCCTTGCGTAGCGAGTATTTTGATGGGCGAGCTCCGTACACTCAACTTCGTATAGACAACGAGTTGTCTATTCTGTACAAGCATGCTGCTGTACAGATTCGGTCAGCCATCTTGAAAATCATGGCGACTTTTTCGCGATGATCTCAACAGATTGCCAGCAACTGGCTTTGGTGAGTCAATGTCAAGTCAAGAACATAATGTCAGCGATGCGAGCTTGGATGGGATCTTTAAGTCATTGTTATCTGTCAGTCTTAGCGACTTTAATTACCGGGTTTAGAAGATTTACATTGTTTTGTATACGAAGGACCTTAGTGTCATCAGGTTCATTCTAAATACCTTTACCTTCTATAACAACGCATCAAATAAAACTAAAATATTTCAATTTAGTATCTATATTGCTCATATTTGTACAATGTTTTCGTCATTTATTGGTGTTATATTTAAAAATTATATAATATTTAACTATTATGTAATTACATGAGTATTATTTTGTAACATTAAATTATTTTTAAAGGTTTATAAGTAATTTACAATATCGGATTACCCATACTATTTGAGGAACTATAAAATAAACAATATGAAAACCAATCTACACAATTTACATTGCAAAGGTTTAGGATCGTCTATAGTGAAGCTATCATTCGCAGCGTTGTACAATGTCTACGAACAACAAAACATATAATTAATAATGGACCTTCAATATTACAAGATAAAAGTATAAATACAATTAACAACTACAACAAGATGAAATTTATACATAGGTTAAAAGTAAAATTTATGCATAAATGTAATGTCTTTATCTGCAAAAATTATGTACAAATCTATATACAAAGCTATCACATATTACAAATTTAATCGTATCACTATATACATTATTGCATTATTACGTCCGTCTCTAGATAACTATCAAAGAACGAAGCCAAATATATCGTTGCAATTGTCTTTTGTTTTAAAACCTTTGTTAAACGTACACTATGTGGGGCTTCTCCGGAGTTCGGTGGTGAGGTATAGTTTCATAAGCAAATTGTTGGTAAATATGTTCCTCACTATCTTCCTGGTAATAAGGATTTTTATCAACACTGTGCCAGGGAGGATTCAACGAATGGAAATTATTCGTTACGGAAGACCCTATCATCAAATATCGATCGACTTCTCTCTTATTCTCTTGTTCTCTACTTCTTGTCGAATAACCTAATCCGTTGCCCAATTTCGATACATCGCTATTTAACATTACACTTGTCATAACCTGTTTAGATTTATCACCTTTACATTTCTTTAAAGGTCCCATAAAATATAATACACCGCCAACAAGACTGATTATAATACTTACAGTCATAACAACGACTGCTACTATGACCCAACCATTCGAACATCCGAATTCCGATTCAGGAATTGGAACTAATAAAACGTCTTTTAAATGGTCCGGTGCAGCACATTTTACTTCTTCGTAGTCTATCTTTAGTATGTTACTTGCGTTATCAGATCTCTTTATATTCATTTCACATTCTCTTCCCAATTTCCAAAGCCACAGTAATGAACAATTGCATACGAATGGATTACCAGATATTTCCAATTCTTGCAGTCTATCAATAGGAAAGTGTGCCGCTTCTAGTGTTTCTAATGCATTATTTTTCATATAAATATGTGTCAGTTTTGGATTTCCATGGAATAATCTTGGTGGCACTTCTCTTACTTTAATGTTTTCATTCATCCAAATCTTTTGCAAATTGATATTGTCAACGAAAGCTCTAGAATCAATCTTTTCAAGTTCGAAAAGTCGACTCAAATGCAAATGTCTTAAATGGAATAAACTTTGGAAAGACAGTGCCGTTACGTTTTGAAAAAAGTTTCCACTTAAGTATAAATGAGATAAGTTTGATAGTTTCGAAAGAGCAGAGGTGGGAATTGAAGTCATGTTATTGTCACTGAGATCTAAATGGCGCAGCGAAGGCAGGTTTTGAAATCCAAGTTGATCAATACTCTCAATGATATTATTATTAAGATCTATATGTTTGAGTTCTTTTAAGTATGGAACGCCTTGTTTCGAAACTTGTTGAATCAAATTCTCAGATAGATCCAAAAATTCCAGATGAATTAGATATATAAGATTAGAAGACGGTATATCCAGAATAGAATTATTTTTCAGTGACAATATTTTCAGAGATGATAAAGGCTCGAACGTTTCTACTTCAAAGCTCACTAATTTATTGCTTGATAAATCGAGCCTTTCTAAAACTGCTAAGTCTTTAAAGCTCTGCACGTGAATGTCAGTTATCTGATTGTTAGATAAATCTAAATCAACGAGTCTCTTTAGTCCAACGAATGTACCGATATCCAATTTTTTCAAGAAATTATGACTTAAATTAAGGTGAGTCATTTCAATGTTATTTTCAAAATTCTTACTACCTAAATCTTGAATCTTGTTGTGAGAGATGTCGAGAACTGTCAATTGCGTGTAAAATGGGAAAGTGTAAAGAAGATTGCTGATTGAATTCTGTGTAAGGTTGATGTGAGTAGCTTCCGGATTTAGCTGGATGGGCACAATTTCGAGGCTGGCGTTGGCACAGGAGGCGGCGCGAAGGGCGTCGTCGCATGAACAGCGGGCTGGGCACAGCGTGCGCGCCGCCGCGCCACACCACCATGCTGCCACCACAAACCACAAGCGCCATTTTGCTACGCTTTGTGAACCCATACCATCTCATGTATACGCCACCAGTGATCTGCAAAGAAGAAAAAACAAGCATTAAATAATTTAGAAGAAATAAATAAAAAAGTTAAATGCAGACATGCACATTTGGCACATAAAATTTCTAGCAAGATGTTTACTATTAACGTAAGATAAAATCTTATTGCCGCAGATGGAATTCAGTTTGTTTTACTGCTAACTTATTTTTGCAATAAAGTGCCGACGCTCCCTGTGGCTACGCCCTCTACGATAGCAGAAAACAAAAATATACAACATTATCACGACAAGATCTTAATATAATTTCTACCGAAAACTGCAGATAACAAATGAGCCCTCCGTAATTCGTGGGGTGCGAGACGGGGAACGGAATTGTTTGATTCAAATTAACCTGATAAGCAAAGCAGCGTGATATTAAGGTAGCATCAACGAAAAAGAATTTCTGTTTTATCAATAAATAATAAAATGTAATTTAACACTAAGACAAACAAATGATATCAATATGATATGTTTTTTTATCGTGTATTATAATAATAATAAAGCCATTTTCTATATTGGATTAATTTTGATAAATTATATAAATAAAATTTTATTATATTATAGTCGGAGAAAATTATTTGTGTGTTGACAGTGTCAAACGTTGCCATGGTTTGGAGATAAAGCCATTTATTTCCATACAGATAAGTACATGGTAGAAATAAAATGTACAAGGTAACTACTAATTGCAAACATGCTTATAATAATCCTAAGATACTCTTTCTCATTAAACTATTCATCAATTTAATTTATTTCTTTTTTTTCAAAGACGCCCAATTCTCTCTATCTTGAGCCACGTGTGCCCAGGCAGTGTCGGCTACTTTCTTTATTTCATCTTCCCATCGTGTAATCGGTCTTCCTATTCTTCTTCTTCCTTGTGGTTATCGTGTATTAAGACATTTTAATGTTAAATTTCTTCCAAGATAGCCAGTTTTCGCATAACACTGCCATTTCTAATTTTTCTTATCATTTGATTCTCGGAGGACTAAACCGTTTAACAAAGACGGCATTGGTACTTTAAATTAAATGTTGGGCTTTACAATTCGACGGAATGTATAATGAATAGCACCGTAACATCTGTTAACGAAGGCGAATGATCTCGAAAGTTTTCACGCGCGGGAATAACTAATTGCGAAGGTTCGGAATTCAATTTATGGCTTCTAGTACGCCTCCTGGGATATCACGTTATGCTAAAGTATTAATAATGCAAAACAGTGTCACGGAAAGTTTTTGATTCCAAATGATAATTGAATTAGTAAACGAAGTCTGTTGGCTTTGTCCCTTACATAATATTACCATATTGTTAAACAGTTTACAGTAATTTTATTGTTGATTTAATAGAATAATGAGTAAAAAGTACATTAATAATGGATACGGGTTTCGTAACAATATTTGAATGTCGTGAGAAGTATTTCGTGTTTCCGTCTCAGACACGAGAAGTCAGGGCGCGCCTCCCCAAGCAATTCGATATCACCCTACACGAATGGATTACACAAGCCCGCCTGAATTACGGAAACCATACGTACACGCACATTCGATACTCATTAGATATACCCGTATTAGACTGGATTAATGCTGATATACTCCAAATGTATTCTAGATCACGTAAATTGTATCAAAATCTTATAAGACGTTTTAAACTCGACATTAATATTCATAGAAGCGATACATATTCAACATAATTTTGATAATTAAGCTTTTGATAATTGAAGGTTGTTTTTTTAATAAAGGTCTGATAAAATGTTAAGATTGTTGTTGCAATTTCTGGTAGTTCTCGTTCTGCTTATAAGATTAAGGTTTAAGTAACCGTATGTTAATTAATTGAAGTTTCAGAGTACATAAGAATATAATCATTAATTAGCGTAAGTTAACATAAAGTGAAGGTGGCCGCGGCTTCGCGTCTGCAATGAAAATAAGCGAAAGGGGCGCGCCCTCCATTTCCGAGCCTAAACTGCTCGGGCCGGCACTCTTTTGTCTTTTAATTTCCTGTCCGCCAGAGCGCGCTGCTATCGTGAATTTCGCTTTCGTGAGCTTCGTTAACTTGTATCGGCCTTTGTTGTTGCCTATTGAACTTTTCCATTACCGACTTCATCGATTGAAACCGCTAAATTTGTTGGAAAATTCATGTCGCCGAAATCGACTTGGCCTCACTCTACAAATTAAGCATTGGATCTTATTTTAATTCTCCCGTTAAATTCGATTGTCTTTGTTTATACTATGACTTAACCATATAGAATATAATTTACAAAAATAAATTATAAATAATAATGATAATTGTAAGTGAAATATTTTTTTTATATCATAAGGTGGCAAACGTGAGCGGCCACTTCAAATCGCTGAAATAGCGAAGTGACCGTTGCCCATAGACATACGCAATTGCATATGCGTTGCCTACCTTTAATCGACGGAGGATGCACAGAAAGAAAATATTTTCCCTTTCCATGTATTCTCTCATCCGGAAAGTCCATTTCCACTTCCCATCCTTTCCTAATAAGAAAAAGGGTGGGAAGGGAAAGAGGACTAAATTAGGCCTGCGGTACGCACACTCATCAGACGAAACGCGGAATTGCTTCCACTTGACGCCTGTCTTCTGCGTGGTCGTGCTATTTCACCGGGCGAGCCGGGCCAATTCGTGCGAAGATGTTAAAGCGGGCTCTACCACTGTTAAAATAAATTATTAATATTTAACTTCTACAACAATCAATTTAATGTAGTGCTTCAACTCTTGGGTGTTTAACAATAATTTACCGTTCCAAAGTTTCGAAACGCATTTAGCCAATTTAATTTCAAAGGGTGTCTCTAATAGCCATATTATTAATAACGGCAAGCAACATCGGACCATTTAAATTATCGAAACTATCCGCTTAGATCGGTTTAATTGCGGCCGTCGAAGTAATCAGGCACGGGCTGAACAGTTCCCACTAAACTTATCACTGTGTTAATACAACTTAAGACATTACTAACACAAAGGGAACTTTACGAGGGTCCTCGGGACAATAAAACTAGTGTCAATGTCGGGCAACCGCTCTCTATCTCCCTCTTTGAGTCTCTATTGCATTTAAATCTTGTGCCTACGATCTCATTTTGTTTGGTTACAGCATACGCTTTGCTATTCAATTAAAATTTAAAGCGAATGTTCCCATTGTACATAAATTTTGGGTATAATTTACAATCTAAGAAAATGATTAGTACGAAGAAAAAGGAATTACGTAACAAATAATAAAAAAAGTAATTATAAATAAGTGTAAAGAGTTTTGGCATTTAAATTTCTACGCCGAGCAATTTTGTTCTTGGCTTATCTTATCTAACTAATATTATATGCGAAAGTTTAGATGAATGGATGGATGTTTGTTTGAAGGTATATTCGGAACAGCTCAATGGATTTTTATGAAACTGGCACACATGTAGAACATAGTCTTGAAGAACACATAGGCTTTTTCAGTTTTTTTTTAATTTCGCGCGTCGCAGGCGACAGCTAGTTTTCGATAAACCGTCGCGTCTAATGTCAAATATCTTTTACTTAAATTTAACGTATTTATAACATACAAAATATTTTCTACTTCATAAGCATGAAACTTCATCAAGGTCTATACACACGCTAATGTATTTTACTTTATAAAGGAAGCACGTGAAGTAACTTGGCGTCCGTCAAAGTGCGTACGTGCTCCATGGTTTGACGATCGCAAGTAATAGTTTGAATGGCGTCGGGCACTAACGGGCGTAATGAGAAAACTTGGCCGGCAAGCGGAGGAGCCTTCAATGGTCGTGGGGCGAGGCTCATGTTGATCTAACTGCACTTCTAAACTCCCCTTAACTTTTAATTTCGTAGATTACGTTTTATCATCCTCAATAAGATTTGCATAATATTCTTTAAAATACTTTAGATAAGGATAACATCAAAGAGTTCGTCTTAAAGACTTTGACAATCGTAGAACAGATAACCTTTTAGACTAAAAAGATTCAATATATATGGACAATAGACTAAGCGATCAAAATAAGACCAGTTTAAATTGACAAAATTTCTCTGCTCATATCAAATAAACTTAAAATGTTTAACAGTGGTAGAGCCCGCTTTAACATATTCGCACGAATTGGCCTGGCTCGCCCGGTGAAATACCACGACCACACAGAAGACAGGCGTGAAGTGGAAGCAATTCCGCGTATCGTCTGATAATTGTGCGTCCCGGAGGCCTAATTAAGTCCTCTTTCCCTTCCCAACCTTTTCCTTATAAGGAAAGGATGGGTAGTGGAAGTGGACATTCCGGATGAGAGGATGCATGGAAAGGGAAAATGTTTTTTCTTTCTGTGCATCCTCTCCTCCGACCATTACAGGTAGGCAACGCATATGCAATTACGTATGTCTATGGGCAACGGGCACTTCGCTATCTCGGCGATTTCAGGTGGCCGCCCGCTTGTTTGCCACCTTATGATATAAAAAATAGAATAACAATCGTATTTATTGGAACAATCAATGTATTACAAATTTAGATAAAATTGTCTCTCTACAATAATAATATCATAGCTTCAATAATAATCCAATAAACGTTGTGACATATTAATTCCTCGTAGGCCATTAACAGATATATTTTAATAATGGATCTGATTCAAATGAGAATAAACGATGATAAAGTGTCCGCACCCTAATCCAAGGTGGCCGACCAATTTTAATATAACGGCAGCGCACCTGCTGATAGTTACGCGCGGCTGCTATTGATTTTGCAATCAATGCCAGATTAGAGACCTCCACCGTCTAACGGTGTTATAGCTAATAGATTTATTAATTTCTAAAGTGAAATCCGTTTTAGTCAAATACGACTCGCAGAACTTTGACCACAACCAAACTGAATGAAGAAAGATTATTGAATGTAACATTTTGTTTGGGCATTTAAGATTTTAGTTGAACTATTTTATATTATTTTTATATACTAGTATAATACATATCGCGTAAATAATGCTTTAGGTACCTATAATAAATAATTTATTATATTTATAAACTGATCG